AATATAATTTATAATATATAAACATGTGTTGTGCTACACATTATGTTCCATGCTAATTGTTATGTAAGTGTAGTATTATTATAAATTATATATTTTGAAATTTTTTTTACAATTTATTACAGTATTTACGATTATTTTTGTTTTCTCTTTGCAGGAAGTTCAAGAAAAAGCCTCTGTTTTTAATATGCAGTTGGACTTAACTGGGGCGGTTCCCAGCCTTATAGTTGCCTTTGTCATTGTAGCTAATGGGGATCGCCAGGGACGCAAAAGGTCTTTGGTTTTGCCATCAATGGGAGCTTTGATTGCTGATATTTGCCTCACTGTAATATCAAATTTTTCCTTGTCACTCTCTATCCTATTTGCGGTTGCATTTATTACTGGACTGTTTGGGAGTATGGCAACTTTCCTTGGAGGAGGCTTTGCTTTTATAGCAGACGTGTGTCACGATGAGAAGCAGAAGACAACGCGAATAGCTGTGGTGGATTTGATTTTTGGAGTCGTATCTGGATTGGCAGGACTGTCATCTGGGTACTTTCTAAGAGGAATAGGCTTTACATGGACATTTGTGACAGCATCTCTGCTCCATGTTGTTAATATTATCTATATTATATTTCTTCTGGAAGATACAGTAGGCGTATCTGAATTCCACCACCAGGCACCAGTGTCTTGTAAAGAACTTCTGAGAGAGACATTTTCTGGAGTGTACATGCTTTTTAAAATTGCCCCTTATAAAAAGAGAATTTTAATCATTGTGTTACTTTTTATATTTATGACTTATTTGTTTACTATGGTTGGTGGGAGTTCGCTTTTTACACTGTATGAACTGGATGAGCCACTCTGCTGGAATGAAGTATACATTGGATATGGAGCAGCTGCGTTCACTTCTGTCTCTCTGACCAGTTTTTTAGGAGTTTACTTATTTTCTAAATGTCTCAAAGACATTTATATTGTCTTTATTGGGATATTTTCTTACATTGGAGGAATGGTCATGGCTGCCTTTGCCAGAACTACCCTGCTCATGTTTTTAGGTGAGTTCAGAATCAGTTGTTCCATGGTCAACAATATATATGAAAATACTGCTATGTTATCTGTAGTGAATGTAGTTGGTAGATATTGGACGTACTGTCTTGAAAGGGTCATAGAGAGGTAAAATATACAAGGTTGAGTCAGACTGATTTAGGATTTAATTAAAAGTGAAGTGTGTGGAGAGAGGATGGAATTACTTGCTTATGATTTGGTTTTAGTGCCATACAGATATATTGGATTTATTAATTTCTCTGTGCTTGGATAATTGTGTCTCAGTGTACTTCTAGTTTGACTTTTCTATTGCCTTTTATTTGGGGAACTGAGCATTCAAAAGTGCATGACTAATTCATTGCAATGTATTTGTAAAATCCTGGATTTTTATTACTTCAATGTCTCATGACTGATTCATTGCTTTACAGTAAGAGTGCCATCTTTGCTCTGCTTTATGCCTATTCCCGTTCTCCGATCCATGCTGTCAAAAGTGGTTCTCACTGGTGAACAGGGTGAGTAGAATTTGTTTTTAAACAGTACAATAATATGGTATTTCAGAACAGAGATGCACCAAGATTACCTTTAAACAAACAGATATGTATTGGTATTTTAAGACTGCTTTTCTTTCAAGATCCATGTAATATGACCCTATGTCATGATATTAATGGCCTTTGATTCTGAATTTAGTATAAACAACATTGTGTTTAAAAACTACTGCAAGTTTCAACCGTCAAAGGAGAGATTGCTCTAAAAATAAAGACCATGGGGAACCTGAAGCAGAGGAATGCTCAAGGTTTATACAGATGTGATATCACAACTGCTTCTGCATTCACAAGATTTTGACGTGCAAAAGAAAGATGTGTTTCTGTTATTTAGTCAGTGTCACACTTAATAATTTAGAAAGGTAAGCAGTAGGTGGTCAACCCTCAAAGCACTTGAAAACAATTAGATTTGGATCCTGAGCTATGTACTCGGCTTCATGGGTGCCTGTGGCTACTTAAATGTGCCCCCAAAAATATAACATATTACTTCTCAAAGTCCTTTCCTTATGGAACACAGAAAAAAGCATGTCAGGCCTCAAAATGTGGCTCTAGTATCCCATATTTTGCTTTTGGGGAGCATATACTTTCTAGATTTTGGGGAGCGTATATTTTCTAGAAGCATTCTCCGGAGTTGTTTGGTTTTATTTTTTAAAAGACATGTCTTTATACAATAAAACAAAGATCTCTTTGTGCTAAACTATGCTAACATACACCTCTATTTTTGCAGTTTCTTGGCATTCTTCAGGGCTTTGGCTACTTGAGTAGTTTGATGCAGGAATCAGCTTGCTTCTTGTCATCTTTTTCTGCTTACCTATTGTGATTTTGTTTATGGTCCTGTGAATATGAATGCAGCTTGGGAAAATGTGTTCAGCAAGACACTGATGGGATAGACTGCCACCCCAATGGGTAGTTCACTGCAAAAAATGTTGTTTCTTTTCTTTCAAAAATGAGGAGGACATGGTTATGTGCTGAACCAGCAGTCTTTGTTGGATCAGAGCCTTTTCCACATGTAAGAGTGAAGACTAGAGAAGGAAGAAATAAGACAGGGAAGAGTGAGAATCAAGAGGAGAATTGGAAGGGGTAAAGGATGGAGATGTGCAGAACATGGTTAATGAGGATGAACAGTGTGAATTTCATGTGATAATCAGATTCAAGAAAGTAGGTACGGTCACAGAATAGCAGCAAAGAAAAATAGTTTCCATCAGCAAAATGTTTTGTTTTGGTTTGTTTTGTTTTCATTTAAAAACCAAGGCCTTTGTAGGAGTCCCCACAGAAGACACTTCCATAGCAAAGACGTATGATACTCGGGTGCTTGTTACTTGCATACTTGCTAAAATACTGTAGATAGATCCTTCAAAACAAGTTTTAAAACTTTAGCACTTTGAAGGGGTTTTGGTTTTACATTGTTTTGTTTGTAATTCATCTATTTGTTTTTGGCAGGTGCTGTGTTTGCTTGTATTGCCTGTTTAGAAGTTGTGACCGGCACTATTTCACTTTCAGTTTTTAATATTCTGTATGCAGCTACTGTTGCATGGTTTTCAGGCTTTAGCTTCCTCTTATCGGCAGGCCTTTGTCTAATTCCACTGGCTGTCCTGTGGTAAGTACGGATCAGGAGGGTGCTTCTGACTGCTTTTACTGGTAATTTTTTGTTTTGACATGAGTTGAAGCTGAATGGTTTAGTGCAGTAGTTCTCAAACTTCAGTATTTTCTACAGGGCTGGGCTTATTTCATGTGTAGCCTTCCCTCCAGCTTCCACCCAGTTCAGGAGCTGCTTTATCTAGCAAGCCTATGGAAGGTAGAGGGGGCTGCTAGGAGTGCGGCAGAGCTGAAACAAGGGGACATGGCAGTGTCTTCCCCAGGGGGATCACATAGGAGAGAGGGAGCCCAGGCTATGGGAGGCTGCTTTCTCTCAGTGAGGCTTGTGAGAGGAGTGGCTCCCCCGCCGCTGGTAGCCGTAGTTTTCCTGTTTT